ATAGTATAAACCAGGAATACCACCAGCAGCAGAAACCTACTCTTAGTGGCCATGAACAAAGTATAAGTTGACAAAAGATGCCAAACACCAAAAACTGCAAAGCTGGAAAGAATTTGGGGTATAAACAAAAGTGCACGATAGGGGATTATCATCTAGATGGATATGCACTGAAAAGGTGCCCCCAATAAGGCCTGTAAGGCTAGTAGCACAAGGTTTTGAACTGGGGTATCAAATTGTTTGAACTGATATTTTTTGGCTTTGTTAGCATTAAATACTTGGGAGTGTGGATCAACTGATATTAAAGCTACAGGAGAATCTGCTTAAGAGATGAGTGTTTCGTTGTCCTCCAAAACAGGACACTCTAGAACTTATATAATTGTGTCTATGGCCTAAATGATGCCTCTAGATTTGGTACTTCAGTAAGGACTGTCTTGGAAATATAGAAAATAGGTACAGGAAAAGGCCATTTGGCATTTTGAGCCTGCCCTGTCATTCAATATGTTCATGGCTGATCATCCCATTCAATACCCTGTTCCTGCTTTCTCCCCATTCTCTTTAATCCCTTTAGCCCTAAGAACGATATTCTTGTGGGAGAAAATGCCACAACATCACCACTCTGGGTGAAGAAATGTTTCCTCATCTCAATCTTAAACAACCTACCCTATATCATTAGACTGTGACTCCTGGTTCTGGGCTCTCTAGTCATCAGGAACATCCATTCTGTGTTTATCCCATCTAGTTCTGTTAGGTTTCTTTGAGACTCCCCTCTCCTTCTTCTGAAATCCAGAGAATATAGTCATAACCAATTCAGTCTCTCTTCATACATCAGTCCTGCCATCCCATGAATCAGTTTGGTAAACTTTTGTTGCATTCCTTCCATAATCAGGACGTCCTTCCTCAGATAAGGAGAGCAAAACTGCATGCAATACTCTAGGTGTTGTCGCACCAAGGCACTGTACAACTGCAGCAACACATCTCTGCTCCTATATTCAAATCCTGTTACTACAAAGGCGAACATACCATTTGCTTTCTTCACCACCTGCTGTTTCACTACCTATCTTATTAAAATTGGGTTTTCTTCAGCAAAAAGCAGATCCTGCCATCACAAGGGCAACTTTCAAGTATCTATGATACATGTAGATGATTTTTTTGTGGCATACCAGCAGTGAATTTGAAAATGGTGTCATAAATGGGCTTGTAGCAGAATTCAAATTAGAAGTCAGGCTTCTGGAGCTTTTAAATACATTGGGTAGGAAATCAGGTAGAATGGATCAAGTGTTACATTACTTCAGCAAGATTATTTGGAAAATATTAGCCCTGTTGATATTAATCAATGTAGGGCTTCACAAAAAGATATAGCATCATCCCAAATTGAAAGAGAGTAATTGCAAAGTCTAACTGGACAACTGAATTAGCTGGGCACCCAAATGAAGGTAGATGCCAGTTCTGAAGTACGAATTCAATACAACTGTCAAAAATTCAGGAAAACAAGGCATTACAAAATATTCAAAATGGAGCATTGTGTTTTGAAATTTCTATCATTGGGATATGCCAGGAACATGAAACTGTTTTTATTAACGCCTCTTATAAAAACCTCTGATGAGTTTTTGAGTGCAGGAAGGTATGTATTTTTTCTTGTGGGAAAGGAAGATAAATATTGCCCTACAGCTTGGGAAGTTTAAAAAAAAAAAATCAGACAAGTAGATGAATCGGTGCAGACTCAAGGGGCCTCTTCTGGGCTGCATGACTAAGTATCTTAGAGGTGGATCTCGGTGATATGACATCTTCTTAGGGAAAATATTGGAAGAAATTCTGCAAAGGGATTCAACAGCAATATCCATTGGGTGCTACATTAATTATAAGTGACTATGGGATAATATACACACACAACGAAAAGTGTGAAAGATAAAAGTCTGAGGTTCAGCACAGATGATGGAGAATGGAGCGATCTCAAAATTCAAATGGATGGATAGCAGTGGTCAGCCACGTGATTGTTTTCACAAAGAAGCCAGGAAGGCAATGGTACTCCTTCTGAGCGAGGAGACCCAGTTCAAGTGCCACCTGTTCCAGAGGTGTGTAATAACATCTCTTACCTGGTTGAACAGAAAATATTTAAATAGCTAGGAAGGAGAGCTCTTGTGGTGCAGGTGTAGTTTCCCTAACTCTAAGCCAGGAGACTTGGGTTTGAGTCACACCTGGACTGGTTGGTTAAGAAGTATCAACAGTCAGCAAGGTCTAGTTCTTAGTGGACTGTTTCACAAAAAGGAAGATGGAAGAAGAACAGAACAAGAGAAACATGCCCAATCAGTGTAACAAACTTGCATCCCAGTACAGATCGACAGCAATCTATTGCTTTTATTAAGTATCAACTATTTTGTATTTATTTTAAGTTTAATAAATTCTGTGAAACTTGTGAAAACATGAGAAAAGCAGCAAGGCAGTGATAATGTCTGTACCACTGAGGCAGGAAGTCTGGCTTCAAGTCCCACCTGCTCCAGATGTGCGTCATAACATCCCTGAAAGGGTCGAGCAGAAAATATCAAGAAATCAGCAAGTTAAGAAATGTTCGGACATACATGGAAAATAACACCCATGGAACTTTAATGTGCAAGGAAAGAAAGGAAATATACTCTGTTGTAATTTTGCTTTTTTACAAATTATTGATACATCTAAAAAGACAAAAGGGGAATATTATCTGTGGTCTGAAATGAATGCCGAGACCTAATGGTAGGACGGAACAGGTGGCGAAGATATTGATTAAGAGTTAATTGGTTGTATAAAACCAGGACGCAAATAATCAGTGGGATTGAGTTTTATGCAGTGTGGCTTACAAAAATAAAAGTGTGAACTTTAATTGTTTAAATTTTTTGAATGTAATACGAGTTCCTGTTCCTTGCTCAGTGTCCACCCTGAGAATTAAATGCATTTCACTTTGTATTTTCGCTTATGCAAAACACTAGGACTATGTATCATAGATTGAGAAGCAGACGTTTCAGTTACTATTCTGGCTCATTTTGCTTTTCAAATGGGGCCTGAACTTGTATTTTCCGATACCCTGTCCCCTGGCCTTGTCTACCACCTTTTGTTTGTCCCCTCCGCGTAACTTTGCATTCTCAATCCTTACCTCAACTTATTGCTACTCCTCTGTCTTCCAATTTTCACAGACTTGAATTCCCCCATAACAAAATCCACTTTAGCATTATCTAATGGATTCCATCAAGATATCAATGATGGCATCTTTATGAGCAGCAATCCCAAATTTCCCATCCTCTTGCCATCAAACCTCCCAGCCATCCTGCTAAACCTGCGCACGTTCGCTTCATCCCATTTACCTCTTTGTACTCCATTAATGGCCCTGTTTGTAATCTCCTCCAGAATATCTGTTTACTTGTGAACAAAACCTTTAACACCAATTTTTTCTTGTGGATGACTGCATTGACAGAAGCATTACACACAGTTTTGGACTCCTTAACTAAGGAAGGACATACTTGTCTCAGGAGGAGTGCAACAAAGGTTCACAAAACAGTTCTGAGGAAGGGTCACCGGACGTTAACTCTGATCTCTTCTTCACAGATGCTGCCAAACCTGCTAAGCTTTTCCAGTAACTTCTGTTTTTGTTCACATGACTAGTCTCTGGGATAGTAGCATTGTTTTACGAAGAGAAAGTGAGGAAACTGGCGCTGTCTTCTCTCATGCTCCAAAAAAATGAGCAGTGATTTCGTTGAAACTTACAAAATCCTTACAAGGTGTGACATGTTTCCCCTGTGGTGAATCTGGAACTGGGGACGGAGTCTCAGAAAAAGGAGTAGGCACTTAAGATTGAGATGAGAAGGAAGTTCTTCGCTAAAAGGGAGATGTATCTTTGGAATTCAGTACCTTCGAAGTTCAATCATGGAGCACAGAGACAGAAATCAATAGATTTCTGGATATTAATATCATGAAAAGATGTGGTGATAGCATGGGAAAGTGGTAATGATTTAGATAATCAGCCACAAATGGTGAAGCAAGTTTGACAGGCTGAATGACCCTACTCCTGCTCTTATTGATATGTGACATTGGTGAAACTAAGACCACCAAGTTTTGTCATTGCAACAAAGCCCACCTCGGTCCTTGCCTTAAGCCATCTGGTGCTTTATCTGTGCTTTTACCATTTGCTGACTTGGCCAATCCAACGTTATACTGGTTGGTCGCCCAGCCAACACCCTTGTAAAACTTCAGCTCACCATATTTTGCACTAAGTTTCACTTAACTATTCCCTCTGTGTTTGTTGACCTACACTTATTACCTTTTTCCAAATGCTTCAACATTTCAAACTCTAATTTCTGTATTTAAATCTTGACACTGCTTCAGCACTTCCTGACCCCTGCAACCTCTATTAGCCAAATAGCTGAATCCCCAACCTCTCCATTTCTCTGCCACTCCCTTTATGCAAACTCACTGCACCCCTCATTAACAACTATGCCTTTAGCTGGCTAGACTCCATACTGTCAAAACCTCCTTTAACCCCTTTCCTTCCCTTGTCCTCTTTAAAGACCTTAAACCTGAAGTCTTTAAATGGTTATTCTTCAGTATTTCCTTCACTGACTTGTTATTTATGGTTTTCTTAATGCCTCTGCAATCTGCTTTTGAGCATTCTGTGTTAAAGATTCTATATGGATGAAAACTGATAGTCACATCTCCTTATTTGATGCCATTGCTGATGGTTATAGGCCCTCATTTAGTGGTCACGCCAATAGATATGGTCGCTTGCTTCAGTTACCATTCTCTCAAAATGGTCTAGCAGTTTGACTTACTGCATTATATTACTACACCGGACAAAATAATCAAGGGTCTGTGCCATCATATAAGCCATCACTGTTACCCAGTGCCCTCACTGGTAATTACAGCTCCTTATTCAATATCTTAATTCAAAGTTACAATCTAAATTCAATTACAGTTGATTCTGATAAACTCAGTACCTCAACTCCTGATTACACTAGCAACACATTGTATGGCAGTACCTTGCCAGCCTGGGTAGCAGCAGTTAGACAAGGGTGTGTGCCATCATATTTCCCCACAGTCACCATCCGGGGGTTGATTCTGTGGTTTAGCTTGAGCGAGAAAACTGGGACAAGCATGGCTACCACCTGCAGATATAGAAGAGGATAGAGCAATGATTATCATCTGGAGCAGAAAATTTAAACCAAGGGAAAAAAAATGATTAGAATGTTAGGAAACAAAAAGGTGGATTGTTTTGCCAGTAAGAACAATAGCAAGTGCAATATTTAATGGCATCAGAAACGCAGGTACAAGTCTGGGGTCTATTGATCCCATTGCTGGTTGCATAAATAAAACTGACTTTACATTTCATTGCATAGTTATTCAGTAGTTCATGTCAATTGATCCTTTGTGTATTTTCTGTTTATATAACTAATTATTTGAAAATATTGCTGAGTGGTTGTGCTCAAGAAATGTAACACGAAGAACAGTATATGGATTAAGGTAATATGAATTATAGTGAAATCACGGTATAACAGGCACGATCTTTTGATTAATGTTTCATGAATAATGTCGAATTATGCATACAAGGGGGATTTTAGTTAGATTTAGAACTTTTGCAGTTGGCTTTCAATTTTCACGAATGCAGATTCAATTTGTGATATTGTCCCTCATGAACGAGCTTAACTATTTATTTTCTAACATTTGGTGACAGCCTCAGGTTCGTAATTCTGACATCCCACCCCCTTCGTTTTAGGAATATGATCTTTAGTCTGAGTGGTGTACTCCATCATAACAGTAATCAAATCCGAGTGAACCTGGTTGATCCTGCCCCAGAGATACGTGAGGGATTTTCCGCAGATTATCCCAGCAAGGAGCAACTCTCTTAACTCGATCAGTTCGAGTGCACCTAACAGCCAGCAGTCGGAGTTTATACACCAGTGCTGGGATACGGCCCCTCACCCAATCCCGTTTTACCTTGATTCAGACTGTGTGTGTGTGTGTGTTTCTCATTCACGCTCTCCCCGGTCCGGATTTTTCGGTTCGGTCCCGCTCTGTAACGTCGGCCTCGCTATGCCTTGGCCCGGTCTCTCTCCTCGGCCCGGACTGATCTCCCTTTCCTCTTCTCCACCCCTTCCTCCGCACTGTATTCCCCGCGGGTCGGAATTTCCCTCCACCTTTCTTCTTGGCCCGGATTCCTCTGTCCGAGTCCTCAGCCCAGATTTCCCTCCCTCCGTCTACCTCTGTCCTCGACCCGGATTTCTCCCCTTTCTCTCGTGGCGTCTTTCCGTTGCTACCCAATGACATCAACCAGAGGTCACGGGGATGCCACAAGGGGTGGGATTTATTTGTTGCCATAACAACCACTACACTGTAGCTGTTGTATACAATGCGCTCAATGTGGGACAATAATAGTACCCCCTAATACAGGTGGTTTCTCGAACGCGTATTTTCGACATGGCCTACTTATGTGTTGATGCAAAAATACGTACAACACAAACCATCTTTCCCGTATTAGTGAAGCAATGTCTACTGTTCAGTTAGGCAATCCGTCATAGGTGAACGTTGTTCCACCTTCTTTTAATATTTTAAATTAACCGAAAAATAAACACGGTTTTGTTACTCTCTCCACAGATCATAGAAGTGTCCCGACCCGAAACGTCAGCTTTCCTGCTCCTCTGATGCTGCCTGGCCTGCTGTGCTCCTCCAGCTCCACACACTGTTATGTATTTGAAATCAACGCAATTTGTTTCTCTGTTCGATCCCCTTAGCGTTTTAAAACAATTAAAAATCACCCAATTTAAAATTCCATAAAATACAACATTAATGGTTGTAGTCAAGGAAATTTAAACCCACGGAGTCGAAATGTTACTCGTGAAGGTCACTGCATTCCCCCATCGCTCTGGAGTATGTCCAGAAAGGAATCTGTAACATTGACACTCATGCCATAGATCTCGCATGTATATTAAACTATAGTTGTGGACAGATATTTTAGATGGCATTATATTATGGTGGACCTGTATTGAAATTCCACACTTTTGGGAGATAAAGCTTTATCTTTCCTTTTTATGAGACTCTATGCCTGTTCTGCCAAGTATCGGTACCAAGTCATATTTATGAAGATGAAAAGGAAAAAGTGCTACAAAAACTAAAACTTGACAGAAAATGTAAATTCAGTTGGAAATTTAGCAATTTTTGCCAAGTTTTCGCAAGGTTGGTGTGGAGAATTAATCAGTAAACCATTTGTGTACAATAGGGATAAAGTGATTGTACCGTATACATATTAAACCAAATTGTAGCCTCTGCTATTGGAAAGCATTGCCATGTAAACAGGACCTCAATATTTAACTGAATCATTTGTTTCTGGCCAATGTTTTCCCAACTCCACACTTACCCAACCTTCAAGAATTTGTGCTGCTCGATGCTTATCAATATCTTGTTTATGTAACCATTGAATGTTTGTGTTAGTATAGTTAAGCACCAGAAAGCTATTTGATGGCAAGGTACACCATAACAAAGTCCAAGACTGCGCACAAAACCTACCCATCCACTTGGAGCATGCTGAACAGTTTGAAAAGCAAGCACAATGACAGATTTTCCCCCATCCTAGATTATACTTATACTAGATTTATGGTGCCCAGTTAGAACACAACTGCACGAATGATTTAAAACAACCTGCATGACTCAGAATGTTCCTGTTTATGCAAACTGCTGTGTCCAAAGTAGCTTAAGCGTCCATTACATAGCAATAACGTCCTTATCGTTGATAGAGTAACAGCACAGCCAAATCATGCAAATCGGGAGTAGACCATTGACGACCCTCAAGTCTGCTCCAAACGTTGCAGCACTGTGTACGTTATGGTTTCCAGATCTATACTACGAACTTTCCAGTGAAAAACCTATCCCTGATATTGAACAGTATTAACACAAGTGTAAATCAGAGAATTCTTTACAGAAAGGGCCAGATACAATGGAATCAGGTCAAGAACACATGATCAGTTAAACATTCAATAAAGAAATCCTCTCAGTAAAGCTGCTTGAAAAATGAATGTTAACGATATTCATTTGGACAAACCAGAAAATGCATTTTATTTAAATAATTCCAGAAAAACAAAAATAGGGTAATAGCTCTTATACGTAAAACAAACTGTGTATTGGAAACTATTTCAAAGGAAAAGCATCACAACAAGGCTTTTTGCAAAGGTGTTACACTTTCACCCATCCCTGAGAGAGACTTCAGTACAATATGAAAGGCTCTAAGAGATTGCTGTTTTACAAGTGCACAATAAAGTGTTCCTATCACAATTTACATCAGGCTCGTGTTCAGTTTAAAAAAAGTCAAAAATAAGTATAAACACTTAATCACATTGCACTGACATTTGAAAGACCCCACCCCTCAACACAGAACTACAAAGCTATTGTAAAGCCTGTATCAGCATCAGCAGTTACCATCCCTCCTACCCTTAGTTAAGTGCAGAATCTGAAAAAAAGTCAGAATATTGTTCCTTTGAATATTCATAAAAATTAAGTTGATGAAATTAACCTCAAATTCCATATAATTTGTTGAACTAATTTTCTAAAAATTGGCTACAGTTCATCCATGGGAAGGAAGGTAAAATGTTAGGCATTTACTTATTTCAGAAAGCAAGATTTTTGGACAAAGCTATACCTCAACTTATTGTAACTGCAGCAGTGATTATTTTGAGGTAAAACATCCAAACGCATTATTCAAACAAAGCAGAGACCAGCAAGTACTCTCAAGTCATCCAAATGTCTACATGCTGAAATATTTGGTAGAATTTAAAGGATAGTAACATGTTATCTGAGATAATATGGGTGAAAATCAAACTGTACTCAAAATATACTGGAGAAAGAATTAGGGAATAAAAACAAAAGCAAATTCTGCAATTTGCATTTCTGGTTATAAAGATTAAGCTGAATGCAAGAGCAAACGTGCAATACTTTATTTAAAATTAATGCTCAAGTCACCAAGTTGTTACATGATCAGTACCACAGACCCTATATAAAACACCATACAGCTGGATAAAATAAATCCAACCACCCCCAAATATTCAGAACTTAAAGGATATTTCTGGCAAATCACAGCCAACTTTCCAAAAATACATCCCTAGTGGACAGGATGCTAGCTTTCATGTTTCCATATGCTACTAAATATTAGATAGTGTAATTTTCATGATAAATGAGAATGACTATGGCTGTAGTGGGATTGGCACACACTTTTGAAGGTAGCAAGTTCTGGGAAGGACAGGCTGAAGTTGCTTAAATCTATTTAAAAATATAGGCTTGGTACTTTCATCGAGATACTGAAATGACACTATGTAACCCATGCATCACACTGCCCCAACCAATCATACTTCATCTTTAACTGACCAACTGGGTTTTAACTTGAAGATATCAAAAACAAATCGATCCATAGCCATGACACGCTGAGTTGAAACTGCCAGAAACAGCCAGCTTCTGAAAAAGATTACTTTCTTGAACTTTTGGGATGCAAAGTGGTAACAGAACTGCAGTTAAGATAACATGTGATCATTTGAAAATAGAACAGTAAAGAACTTGAAAATCAGAAACAGAATTAAACCTTTCTTGTGCCAAAATGGCATGGAAGTTCTGTGTAGAAGTCAGGCATTTATTGCATACCACCTGCAGGAGGAGAGCGTATGGGTGCTGTAGGTATAAAAGTTGTTCCATGCTTTCTGTATGATGGGAAACCACAAAGAAATGAAATTAGTTGCCAAATACCGCAGCACACATTATGTCACTTTTCAGCACAGTTGCAGATGAGCCCCAGGGAGCAATGCTGTAGTGCCCAATAGTTCTTTGAACTAGACAGCCTTCCAAAATCCACAACAGGCAAACTTGCAGACTGCATAAATTCTGTAGTTTAAAAGTAGCCTCCAGACACGTGCAGCTACTAAGATTTATTTTTTGCAGGTAAAAAGCTGTTTATTGTTTTCAAAGGCTGTATTTAAAAAAAACATCCATGCCATTTCCCACCCCAAATACTGTTGTGATCCAGCTCCATTAGTGCAGCCACATTACGAGATAGTACAACTCTCCAGCTCAATGACATGATTTGCAAAGTGGTTTGGGATGCTATTCCCCTTGCTGCTGCAAAAACAGAGCCAGACATGTGGTTCAGAGAGTGTAAAGATTCTAAGTTCCCAGTATTGCATCTTCAGAACTAGGAGTCCTGTCGTTGCTGGAGACGTCTTTCAGCTGCAGCTGCTAAGGTTCGACGTCGCAAAGTAAGAGAGTCTGTGTTGAGAGGTGGCTCAGTGGACGTGCTTTCATTTGACAAATTGTTTGCTTCATGCTGGCTCCTATTTACGTACCGTCTGTGAGAAGATAAATTTGCAGGTCATTATAATAAGCAACAATTTTAGTCATCTCTCTCCTCCCAAGAATCCCTCTAAACCTGTAGACTTTCTCAGATATGTAGTTGGTCTGAGTTCTGAACTTGATACGGTCTTGAAGTGAACAAGCTGAGAAGAGTGGATGACTGTGCATTGTCAGCAAGTAAGAAAGCACTCCGCTGGGCCATCAAATCAAAACACTAATACTTATCCAACTCACTTGCACAGCACCTGAAGACCGGTCATTTTAAAAATGTAATAGTTTAAATACTGATAAGTTCACGATCAGAGCATAAGTTTTTGTCCTAACTGGGTGCATCTGTTCACCACAAAATCAAGGAAGTCTTATAATACTTACGTGTAATAATGTTCTAGGCCATAAGCAAATTGATGCTACTAAATAAACTGTGCACTCTCTCTACCCTGCCTCACACTTCACATAAATTAATATTAATATTCTACATACTGCACGGTGCCAAACTGTGTGATGCAGCCTACTTTAAAGATATTTTATGGAAATCATTGTTCTCCAGTAGAATCTCTTTCTTTGGCAGTACCAAAGTATAGTACGCAGATTAAAAATAACAAAATTGCATGAAAATTAGCTGTCACATGTCTTACATTGCAAAATTAACCACACTTCAAAAGTACGTTTTGATCATAAAACAGTTTGGGAAGTTGAGGTTGTAGAATTGCTCACTGAGCTGATGTGTTTGATTGCAAACGTGTAATCACCCTGCAAGGTAACATCGTCAGTGCACCTCCAGTGAAGCGATGGTGTTCTGTCCAGCTTGTTATTTATATGCCTCGGTTTGCTGGGGTGGTTGGCATTACTTCCGGTTCTGTTTTTCAGTGGTTTGTACATCGGGTCCAGTTCAATAAACAGAACCGGAAGTAATGGCAGCCACCCCAGCAAACTGAGGCATATAAATAACAAGCGGGACAGAACACCAACGGCGCATTGACGATGTTACCCAGCAGGGTGATTACACGTCTGCAACCAAACACACCATCTCTGCGGGCAAGTCTACAACCTCATTCACAACCTGAGCTACAAATCTTCTCAAAAATTTTAAATCAGTTTGGGAAGTCCTGAACTCGATTAAGGTGTTATATAAATTGAAGTTCTCTCTTCCTGACTTTGAGGTAATTATTTGATAACTTTATCGTTAATGTTATGCAATGTCTCATTTGAGTCCATACGAAGCTATTTAAGACAGTAAAACCTATAATTTTTCAGTCATCAGCCCTGATATCTCCTTTACAATATGCTGTCAACTTTGTTTTGCTATCACAGTGAAACTTTGGGACAATTTACTATGCTAATAAATAAAACTTGATCAATTATTTTTGGTCATTCATCTTTAATGTGTTATCTATAAATGTCATAGGGACTAAGTGAAGAACAGGTTTTTCCTCAACAGCCCAGAACCTCAGCCTGTTGGACTTCATTTCACCAGCAAACGGGGAACAAAGTCTTTTCGGCACTTTCAATGAATAAACTGTGTACCTCATGTCATTCTTGGTCGCAAAAGCAATAAGATGTTGAATATGAAACAGACAAGAAATTTGCTTTTTACAGTCTGTATTCTGTCTTAAAACATACTGCATGGGTTCCAGAGCGGCTGAGCATAAAAATTAAAGTGCAATGCTTTTAAAAAACAAAACTGTTCATTTGTGGTATGTCTATTTGTAGGATTAGGTGCCTTTTTGCAGATTTCCTTATTCCGTGTTCGACCAGATCATTACAAGGATTTAGTGAGGCTTATTTTTGAGACTAAAAATTGGTTCCTCTTCCAGCCATTTCTTCACTTATTACTATCAGCAGTAATTCTGCATGAATTTAATGGGGCTCTGTGCTGTATTTTTAAATAATGCCTATGAAACAACCTTGAATGACACAGGGACAAGTGGTGATCATCTGGCCCCTCAAACTTGTTCCACCATTCAATGTGCTAATCTACGAATCAACGATACACTGCCACCTTCATCTTTATCTCAACTCTTTTGGGTGAGCAAAAATTCATTTATCTCAGACTTAACTTTAACATTGGACCCAGCATCAACTGGCACAGTACTGTAACTATTAGAAAAAAATTCTGATGGACAGAAGTCATTGTCACTTGGACAGTCATGGTTTAATCAAGGATAGTCAGCATTCTTGTGTCAGGGGAGATCATATCTTACAAATTTCATAGAAGTTTTTGAAGAAGTGACTAGGTGTGCAGTTGAGTTGTAGTTTACATGGACTTCAGACAGACTCTTCACAACGTCTCACATGACAGACTGGTTAAGAAGCTAAGAGCCCATCGGATTAAGGGCAATTTGTGAAACTGAATTCAACATGGCCATGCTAAATTGCCCGTAGTGTTCAGGGATGTGTAGATTAGGTGAGTTATAGGGGGATGGGTCTGGGTGGGATGCTCTGAGGGTCGGTGTGGACTTGTTGGGCCAAAGGGCTTGTTTCCACACTGTAGGGATTCTATGATGATGATGATGATTGGCTTGGTGGCAGAAAGCAGAGGGTGATGGATGAAAACTTTTCATGATTGGAAGCATTTATCGAGTACGTATCTCAGGGTTCAGGCTGAACGACTTGCTATTTGTGGTGTACATTAATAATAGAGACATGAAAGCAGGAAGTACTATTGGTAAGCTTGCAGAAGACAAATTTGAGGTATGGTAAATAGTGAGGAAGAAAAAGTCAGACGACAATACAATTCAGAAGAGCTGGTCATATGGGGCTGAAGAATGGAAAATGCAATTTAATCCTGAAAAGTGATATATTTCGGATGGGGGACTAACAAGGCAAAACAGTACATGTCAAATGTCAGGACCTAAGGAAGTACAGAAGGACCTTAATGTGATCCATAAATCCTTGAAGGATAAGGTGGGTTAAGACAGCATGTGGGATAGAGTTATATAGCATGGAAACAGGCCCTTCGGCCCAAACCATTCAAGCCCACTGGATTTCCTAAAGTGAACTAGTCCCATATCCCTCTAAACCTTTCCTATCTACGTAACTGTCCAAATGTCTTTAAAAATGTTGTAATTGTACCTGCCTCTACCACTTCCACGGCCAGCTCGGTCCATATATGCACCATCCTGTGTGTAAAAAAGCTGTCCCCGCGTCCTTTTCAAACCTTTCTCCTCTCCTTTTAAACCTCTGCCCTCAAGTTTAGGACTTCCCTACCCGGAGGAAAAGTCCTTGGCTATTCCCCTTAACTATGCCTCCTTTATAAACGCTATAAGGTCACTGCTCTGCCTCCTATGCTTTAAGAGGAAAAAAAGTCCCAGCCTATCCAGCCTCTCCCTATAACTCAAACCTTCCACTAACATCCTTGCAAATCTTTTTTGCGCATTTTCCAGTTTAATAACATCCTTCTAATAGCAGGGCAATCAGAATTATATGCAGTGCTCCAAATGTGGCCTTACCAACGTCTTGTACAGCTGTAACTTGATGTCTCAACTCCTGTACTCAAAGCTTTGATCAATGAAGGCAAGCATACCAAATGTCTTCTTCACCATCTTGTATACCTGCGATGCTGCTTTCAAAGAACTATGTACCTGCACCCCTAGGTCTCTGTTTGACAATAATCCCCAAGGCCCTAACATTAACTGTGTAAGTCCTGTCCTGGTTTGTCTTACCAAGATGCAATACCTCGCATTTTACTCAATTAAACTTCATCTGCCATTCCTCAGTCCACTGGCCTAGTTGAGCCTATTGCACTCTTAGATAACCTTCTGCACTGTCCACAAAACCACCACTTTTACTGTTATCTGCAAACTTACAAACCATGCCTCCTACATTCTTATCCAAATGGTTTTAGATAAAAATGATAAACAGCAGAGTCAGCACCGATGCTTACGGCACACTGCTGGTCACAGACCTCCTGACCAAAAAACAATTCTTCATCACTACCTTCAATCTCCTACGATGCAGCCAATTTTGCATCCAATTAGCTAGATTTTCCTAGATCCCATGTGATGTAACCCTACAAACCAGTTGACCATGCGGTATCTTGAAGGCCTTGCAAAAGTCCATGTAGACAAAAGACAACATACCCTCATCTATCTTCTTGGTCACCTCTGCAAAAAAAACGCACTCAAATTGTGAGACACAATTTCCCAAGCACTAAGCCACGCTGATGATCCCTTAATCGGTCCTCGCCTTTCTAAATGCACATAGATCCGGTCTCTCAAAATCCCCACCAACAACTTGCCCACCAGACATTAGGCTCACCTGCCTGTAGTCCCCTGGCTTTTCCTTGCAGCCTTTCTTAAAGGATGGCACAACATTAGCCACCCTCCAGTTTTCTGGCACCTAACCTGTGGCTGTGAATGATACAAACATCTTCACTAGGGATCCTGCTATTTCTTCCCTAGTTTCTCACAATGTCTTGATCATGTCCCAGGGATTTACCTATCTTTGTCTTTTTAAGACCTCCAGCAGCTCTTCTGCTATAACATGAACTCTTTTCAAGACGTCACTATTTACTTCCGCCAAATTCCCTCGCTTCCAATGAATTTCTTCATTGTAAATACTGATGGGAAATATTTGTTTAAGATCTCATCCATCTCCTGTCGTTCTGCATATCGATGGTCTCGTTGATCTTCAAGGAGCCCTATTCTCTCCCTAGTTACTCTTTTTCCCTTAATATACTTTTAGTATCTCTGGATTCTCCTTAACTGGTCTGCCAAAGCTATCTCATGTCTCCTTTTTGCCTCCTGATTTCCATCTTAAGTGTACTCCAAAACGTCCTATAGTCCTGAAGGGATTCTCTTCATCCCAGCTGGCCATACGTATGCATTCTTCTTTTTCTTGACCAGAGCCTCACTATTTCTAATCACCTAGCATTCCCTACTCCTGGTATCCTTGCCCTTCACACTAACGGGAATAATGCTGGCTCTGAACTCTTATTATCTAGCCTTTCAAAGCCACCCATTTAATGGACATCCCTTTACCTCTGAACAGCACCCCCCAATCAACTTTTGAAAATTCCTGTCTAGTCTTATCAAAATTCACTTTGCTCAAATTTACAGCTTTAACTGGTGGACCAGGCCTATCCTTTTCCATAACTATTTTAAAACAAACAGAATTAGGGTCACTGGTCCCAAAATGCTCCCCCACTAACACCTCTGTCACTTGCCCTGCCTTAATTCCCAGGAGCAGGTCAAGTTTTGGCCCTTCTCTAGTAGTGCCACATACCTATTAACTGAGAAATTTTTCCTGAACATACAATTTCCTCCCCATCTAAGACGTTAATACAATGGCAGTCCCAGTCTATGCTTAGCAAGTTAAAATCCCCTTCTGTTACAACCCTATTTTTCATATAGTTACCTGCAATCTTCCAACATATTTGCTCCTCAATTTCCTGAGGAATAATGGAGGGCCTATAGTACAATCCCATCAAAGTGATCACTCCCTTATTTCTCAGTTCCATTCATATAGGATTCACTGGATGATCCCTCATGAATATCCTCTCTGAGCACTGCCGTGATATTTTCCTAAATCAAAAACGCCACTCCCCCTTCTCTTGTGTCCACTTCTATCCTTCCTGTAACTTCTGTGCTCTGGAACATTGAGCTGCCAGTACTGTCCCTCCCTCAGCCATGTTTTTGCAATAGCTATCATATCCCACTGCTGTTTACCCATTCATGCCTCGAGTTCATCTGCCTTGCTTATCAGACCTCTTGCATTGAAATAAATGCAGTTTAATTCTTCAGGGTTCTCTCATTCTTTTCTGTGCTCTTTCCTGACTTGTCTATTTAACTTGCTCTTTTAAACTTCTGCATTAGCGTCAACATTCTCTTTTGTCTCACTACTGTTCAGGGTCACATCCCCCTTCCAGGCTAGTTCAAACCCTCTCAAGTAGCTCTAGTAAATCTCCAGTTCAGGTGCAATCTGTACCTCTTTAACAGGTCACCTCTGCCTCAGAAGAGATCCCAATGATCCAAAAATCTGAATCTTTGCCCCAGTTCCTCAGCCATGCATTCATCTGCCCTATTCTTCTACTCTTATTCTCACTAGCATGTGGCACTGGAAGTAATCCAGAAATTGTCTGCTTCATCGATACTTGCCTTTATTAATCAAGGCATTGAATACAACAGCAAGAGGGTTGATGGAGCTGTACACAACATTAGTTAGGCCATAGTCGAAATACTATGCGCATTTCTGGTCAACTCACTATAGGAAGAATGTGATTATGCTACAAACAGTGAGGAGAGATTCATTATGATGTTGCTTAGGCTAGAATGCTTCAGCTATGAAGCGATAATGGATAGGTTGGCATTGTTTTCCATAGCACTAAGAAGGTTGAGGGGAGATCTGATTGAGATAATAAGTTATAAGGGGCATAACTCAGGTACAGGGAGAAACTTTTCCCCTTAGAAGGAGAGGTTAAAAACCAGGGGACATAGTTTAGTATGAGGAGCAAGAGGGTCAGAGAATAGCCCTTTTACCCACAAGGTGGTAAACATCTGGAACTCTCTGCCTAAAAATGTGGTAGAGGCAGGAAGCCTCAAGCTATTTACAAACTATTTAGATGAACACATCAAAAACTACAGCATACAAGACTATGGGCCAAGTGCTGGAAAATGGGACCAAGGTAGATAGATGATTAATGACTGATGAGGGCATTATGGGCGAAAAAATCTTTTTGCATATAGTACCTCTGACAGCCTGCAGATGAGTTTCAATCTCTGCAGGTTCACCTATCTTTACTCCTGAAACAATCTTGAAGGCTATGTTTCATAGTCCTATCCTCCAAACAACAAACTATTTCCCAGCTGAACTGATTTATTTAAAAACCCCTTAAAATGTCATCTCTCCGCATAACTTCACCCTCAGAGTCTGGGATTCAGTCTGGAAACCTACATGACAATTCCTCAGAGGTTAAGAACATCCTTCCAAAGATACCTCTGTCCTCCTCATTCTCAAGCTGTCTGCAACCTTTAACACAGTTGTCCACATTACATTTCCACTGTTATCCAGCTGGGAGTCGGACTGATCCCACCTAAATGCCATTGTACAGATGTTATCATAGCCAGAGAATCAATACCAATGTCATTTCTTCCCACTCCTGTCCTGTTACCCGCAAGGATCTCTATCTGGCCTTCCTTCCACTTTTCATTTGCATACCAACATTTGGTTATTATGCAAAGGCAACGTGAAAGCAAGTGAAGCTTATCATCACCTCTAAAGTGGTCCTCAGTCACTAAACTATAATTCTGAAGAACTTAAGGGTAACTGGACACAAAACGATAACTCAGATTTCTCTCCACAAATGCTGCCAGGCCTTCTTAGTTTCTCTGGCAATTTCTGTTTTTGCCTCCGATTTCCAGCAATTGCAGTTCTTTCAGTTTTTCCTCCATTTGTTTTATTTCAAGCTCTTGAATACCTTCCCCTACATTCTTCTACCTTATTTTCCTCCCTTAAGACACTTATTAAAACCCCTATCCCTTTGACCAAAGCTTTGGTTGTCTGACCTTGTTACACGGTTGGTCCCAAGCTTAGCTTTATGATGCTCCTGTGAAGCACCTTGGAACATTCCATTATATTAAACACACCTTATAAATAAGGTACTGATTGTGCCCCAAAGTGAACATAATACTGTAGATGTGGCCCAAGTTTGTACAACTGTAGCATAACTTGCACTCTAGTCCTTTAGATCAAAAGACTGGCATTTCATGAGCTTATTTTTTTTTTTTATTTCCACTATCTGTCCATGGTATTTTCATGATATGGATACATTTCTTTGGACTTTACTTTTTACATCAGTTTTAAAGTATGCTCAATTTTATTAAAATTTCAAGTGGACGACGTGACACTTGGCTCTGTCAAAATCCACGTGTCACATTTTTGCCCATTGACTTAGCCTATTAATATATTTTCATAATTTTATAGTATTGCAGATTACATAAAGATAGATGTGGCATTGTAAACAAGGTGAATATGGCTATCCACTCAATCATACAAATCATTAATAAATACAGTTAATCACTGAGAAGAGCCCTGCAGGATATAACTACTTATATCCTGCCAAGTACTGCCCATCATTTTCAAGCTGTCTCCTGTCAATTAATTTCTTAACTGGTCAATTATCTGCCTCTAATTCCACTAGCTTCAAGTTTAGCCAAGTCTCTTACAAGGGACTCAATTAAATACCTTCTGGAAGTCCATTGAGGTAACTTCCATAGACATTCCACACTTCAATGCTTTTTGTCACTTGTTCAAAAATTCAAACTTGTCTGTCGAATATGACCAATTCTTTACAAATTCATGCCGGTTCTCAAATTAGTGAAAAATTTATTTGGGTTCAGTTTTGCTATCTTGCCTTTTTTAAGAGATGCAATAAATTTAATTAAATAAGAATTTGAACTTTAAGAGGAGTAATAATATTAAACAGCTTCACATCCAAGTTAACAGATTAACATTTTCTCGTTAGTTTCTAAAATTGCTTGACAATGTTGTATATGCTGTACAAGTCTTCAAGAATTCCCATAATCACTGAACATTCTTATCAGCCAGGGACTAAACACAAACTTCGCTCACCCCTTAGGCATACCATACCTCCGGGCTTGAAGCAGAAGCTCCTCTTTGCGCTGTGTTAACATTCGTTGTCTCTCATCTGCTGACTTTGAGAAGCGACTTCCCCGTGCCTCAAAGTCCTCATTCAGAACATCATTTTGTGGAAACTCAGGGCCAGTTCCAAATATCTCCCCAACACTTTGGCTGAATTCAAGGGCTGGATGATCAGTCTGAGGAAGTGAACATGACACTCTCATGAGTCATGCAAGCTGGCATTTAAGCAAATTCATAGTAAAACATTTTACAGAAAATGCAAATAAGTGAATAAACATTTTGTTGTAAAGCTCAAATCTGCAGAAGTCATTAACATACAAGCTGCAGTTAACTTCGATTTCACGTGAATGCATTGTGAAGGATTAGCCTTGAACAACAAGCACAGCAGCTGTCACATTACACGTAGAACAAGGATTCTCTGTTAATAAGGATCGAACACGAAAAAGTCAATCAAAACTGACAGGAACAACTTAAGTCATCGGACCCGAAACGTTAACTCTGTTTTTTCCTTCACAGATGTTGCCAGACCTGAACTTCTCCAGCAACTTCGTTTTTGTTCCTGATTTACAGCATCTGCAGTTCTTTCGGTACTTTTTAAAGCAGTCTAGAAATGGGTCAATTTATTACTATTATTGATTTTATTTATTTGTTAGCCTTTTAAACAGGGAAGCATTTTAAATGAGATTTAAATAATTACAAGTTTAGAAGAGAATATAATTTAATGAGCCAATACATCATAGCTCCTAATCAATCATATGGATAGAAAATCAAATTGCAAGACATACAAAATGAAAGTATTATTTAAAGTTTCTGTAGAATGGGGAAATTAGCTGGTGCTAAATGGTAAATATCTTTATAATTAAAGATTCCATTCAGTCCATTAGCAATTATATGCAGCAAGGTATTCTGCCGCTAACTAAATAAAAGTTATACTAATCAAATCAGCTCAAAGCATACCACTCATTAGAAAGGAAACTGGCATTATGTTTGATGTAGGTGAAAAGTGTAATGAAGTGGTATTGTAACATTGTTAGTCACTATGCCTAGTTTAAAGACGAAATAGTATGTAAGCACGCAATCAAGTCACAAAGAGTTACGAAATGAGAGCCCAGAACGTCCATTCCAGTATTTATGCTCAAAAGCCTTCTTGCACCCTTTATCTAAATCCATCAATATTCCTCTAAGTATGTGATGGTGAAATCAATAATCTAGATTCTCCTGACATATTTTTATGATGCATCATAATTACTCCTTGTGGTAGAGAGTTCCACATTCTGGACAAAAATAGCTTGTGTTCCATATTGGATTTATTTGCTCCAATCTTTTACTTAAAAGCCCAGGTTCAATCTTGCCCAAGTGTGGAAACGTCTTCTCAAAATCTAATATACAAAATCTTTTCATTATCTTAAAAAGAACTACCACATTACAAGAGTTCTGTTTTCTAGAATGATGCCCTAGCCTGTTCAAATCTTTCCTGACAGGTATAATCTCAGTTCTTACGTTATTTAATAAATATTGCCTGCATTTTCTGCAGTACTTCACTACCCTTAAGAGACTAAAACTAAAACTGTCTGTAGTACAAGTATTGTGTTGCCAAGATTATACGCAAGCCTAACATAACTTCGAGTTTTCAAATCTATCCTGCTAGAAGTGAACTCAAACACTTTGCTTTCCTTTTTAAAAAATGCCCTTATTAACTTGGGTATTGTTTCTTTAATGATATGCAAGGAGGATGCAATCCCATTCTTTCTACCGAAATGCAGTACATCATTACATACAGAGAAGTTCTGCATGGCAAATTTCATTTATGGCATGTGGGTGGCACCAACCGGGACAACATTTATTGTCCACCCCTAGTTACCCTCAAGAAAACAGTGATGAGTAGATGCCTTGAACCACTGCAGACCATTTGATGTAGTTACACCCACAATGCCATTAGGAAAGGCATTCCAGGATTCTGAATCAGCGACACAGAAGAAATGGTGATGAATTTTCACGACAGGATGGTGGTGTTCCCACATATCTACTACCCTTTTCCTTCTAGATGATAATGGCCGTGGATTTGGAAGGTGCTGTCTAAAGAGCATTGGTGAATTTCTGCAGTGCATCCTGTAAATTATACACATTACTACTTCGGGGCATTGGTAGTGGAGTAAATGAATGTCTGTGGTGCCAATCAAGTGGGCTGCTCTGGTTTTGATGGTGTCAAGCTTGAGTACTGTTGGAGCTATACCGACCCTATCAAGGAGAGTATTTGATTAGGAACAAAAACAAAGTTGCTGGAAAAGCTCAGCAGGTCTGGCAGCATCTGTGGAGGAGAAAACAGAGTTAACGTTTTGGGTCTGGTGACCCTTCCTCAGAACTGATGGTGGCTGGGAAAACGTCAGTCTATATGCAGAAAATAGGGAAGTGAGTGGGGTAGGGAGTAAGTGATAGGATAGAGCCCAAAGAGAGAGAGAAAGACAGTTGGACAGACAAAGGAGTTGCTAACGATCAGGCTGGGAGGGTAAGTAGTTGTTAATGGGGACTGTTAGTGACTAACAACAGGGGGTGTGTAGTGTCAGGCTATGTGGTAACAAAGCCAGGTGTGTGGGGTGGGGGGCTGGGACATGGCCTTTGTCTGTCCAACTGTCTTTCTCTCTCTTTGGGCTCTATCCTATCATTTACTCCCTACCCCACCCACCTCCCTATTTTCTGCATATAAACTGACGTTTTCCCAGCCACCATCAGTTCTAAGGAAGGGTCACCAGACCGAAACATTAACTGTTTTCTCCTCCACAGATGCTGCCAGACCTGCTGAGCTTTTCCAGCAACTTTGTTTTTGTTCCTGATTTACAGCATCCGCAGTTCTTTCGGTTTTTTTTTTAAATAGAGTATTTGATTACACTTTTGACTTGTCTTGAGAAGTCACTGAGTTAACCACAGCAGGATTCTTAGCCTTCCTCCTGCTCTTGTGGCTACAGTATGATTACAGCTAGTCTAGTTCAGCTTCTGGCAAATGGTAACCCCTAGAGAATGTTGATACTCAAGGATTCAGTGTTAGCAATGCCATTGAATGTCAAGGATAATGACAAGATTCTGTTGTTGATGGCCAGTACCTGGCACTACTGTGGTACAAATCTTAGGCGCCATAAGTCCAAACTTCAATACTGTTCAGGTCTTGCTGTATTTGGACATGGGCTGCTATCTAAGGAAATGCAAATGGTACTGAATATTGTAGAATCAGTGAACATCCCCACGTGACCTTATGACAAAGGGAAGATCATTGATGAAGCGGCTGATGGTGATTGGGCCTCGGACACGACTCTGAGGAACTCCTGCAGTGATGTCCTGGAACTGAGATGATTAACCTCCAACAAGCACAACGCACCCTCTTTTGTGCCAGGAATGACTCCAATCAGTTGAGAGCTTTTCCCCTGATACTCATTTATTCTAGTTTTGCTATGGGCTCCTCGATACCACACTTGGTCATATGCAGCCTCGCTATCAAGGACAGTCACTCTCTTATCACCTGTGCAATTCAGTTCTTTCATCCATGATTGAACCAAGATTATAATGAGGTCAGGAGTGGAGGGCCCTGGTGAAACCCAGCTTGAACAAGAGTGAGCAGCAGGAGTACTGCCAGATAGCAGTATTAACAATAATTACTGACTTATTTTGCATATTTACTAAAGTGTTGCTGTACTTTGTCACAGTGCTGACATGTATTAATCCCACAAATGTCACCTGAAAATTTTGAAGCTTTACTTCCCATTTTCTCAAGTCTAAAACATTAGTGGTGTGCACAGAAGTTCCAGCAGTGATCTTGCTGAACTTACTGGTGTCTCATTCAACTGCCTTTAACCCCCGTGTTTTTAGTTTCAGGGCTTTCTTGTTATCCACTGTTGCAACACTATCATTTGACCTTATGTGGTACCTTAGAAAAGGTTTTTCTCTTTTAAAATGCAGATACATCGTGTAATATTCCTTTCTAATATTTCAAACATGATTTTCATTTAGAACCACTGCTTTCAGTTCTTAAATTTTGTTTTAAAAAACGAACAGAATTTAAATAAATTGGTCTACAGCTCCTTGGACTTTGTTTTTATAACAGAATCAAATTAGCTGCTTGGCAATACCTTTGCACTTTTTCCTATTATTAGCAACATGCAGTTGTCAGTTGGACTTGGAGTGTGGTGCATTTGCCTGCACCAGAAGCTACTTGTATGAATACATGGTGCCCAATTTCTTGCAGACAGAAAGCACACATAGCACTGTATCAAATCAAAATCTGGGCAACAGCCATTCTCCAATTCTTTTCAGAACAGTGCTTTGATCAGAGTTAACCTGCTTTATTTAAATTTTAAACCGTCATGTAGCTAGATGTGGGAGAGGTGCTAAATGAATATTTTTCGTCAGTATTCACACAGGAAAAAGACAATGTAGTCGAGGAGAATACTGAGATACAGGCTATTAGACTGGACGGGATTGAGGTTCATAAGGAGGAGGTGTTAGCAACTCTGGAAGGTGTGAAAATAGATAAGTCCCCTGGGCCAGATGGGATTTATCCTAGGATTCTCTGGGAAGCTAGAGAGGAGATTGCAGAGCCTTTGGCTTTGATCTTTATGTCGTCATTGTCTTCAGGAATAGTGCCAGAAGACTGGACACTAGCAAATGTTGTCCCCTTGTTCAAGAAGGGGAGTAGAGACAACCCTGGTAATTATAGGCCAGTGAGCCTTACTTCGGTTGTGGGTAAAGTGTTGGAAAGGATTATAAGAGATAGGATTTATAATCATCCAGAAAGGAATAATTTGATTAGGGATAGTCAACACGGTTTTGTGAAGGGTAGGTCGTGCCTCACAAACCTTATTCAGTTCTTTGAGAAGGTGACCAAACAGGTGGATGAGGGTAAAGCGGTTGATGTGGTGTATATGGATTTCAGTAAAGCGTTTGATAAGGTTCCCCATGGTAGGCTATTGCAGAAAATATGGAGGCATGGGATTGAGGGTGATTTAGCGGTTTGGATCAGAAATTGGCTAGCTGTAAGAAGACAGAGGGTGGTGGTTGATGGGAAATGTTCATCCTGGAGTTCAGTCACTAGTGGTGTACCTCAAGGATCTGTTTTGGGGCCACTGCTGTTTGTCATTTTTATAAATGACCTGGATGAGGGCGTAGAAGGATGGGTTAGTAAATTTGC